AGTATATTAGGACTGTAGGATAGGATCTTATATAGATATACCAGTGGACCTTACTTAATTATTAGGTTATTTCCAACAGCCTATGAGAAATAATGGAAAGGTAATGTCCAGTAGTCCAATTGGTTGTACGACTACAAAAATTTTATCCCAGTATTTGGTACTCGCGTATGATGGAATTAACCTATTGGGTATGTATGGTTGGTGAAGTCGTCACTGGAATAGTAAGCGATATTTTGAATGCACAAGTTTTTTTTTAAATTAATATTTAACCTTTAATTTTGCTTTTGATGGTTAAAGTGAAGGACTGCCGATTGATACCATTAATAAAACACATTTTATACACATCTAATTTATTTCTCTTTTAGATATGAAAAAATTGTAGTTATATAATAGAGCAAAAAGATAGAACAACCTAGTCTAAATTATCTTAAAAATAAAGTAAGATACTATATCTTGAACTAAACTCTAAAAAAATAACTAATGTTTGACAGATTTGCCGTCATTCTTTGATGAAATTAGCCTTGTCCAGTCAAGTAGCTAGTGATTTCTCACATTCTTTTGACGTTTGATGTTTGAGACTGCTATCTTATATGTGTAAAAACATATTTAAAAAATCCCTACATCCGCCTTTTACGTAAACTCTTGATTTGACGCTGATAGTACTCTCATGAAAGTGATCTTAGATGCTAATCTCCACAATGATGTAGGTATGCATTTATTTATTTCATTTCATTAAATACAAACCTCATTAAACACTCATCGGTAAGATCTCTTTCATGGAGTATCGTGCTCAAAAAAACCAGAATAAATCTGACTTTTCAGTTTGGCAATTAAAAATTTTCCTAGTTTTTTTTTGCTCGTGATGGGACCAACTATCACCAAGCCTTCAAGAAATAGGAAAAAACGATTCCATGAGCCATTTTAATGTGAAAATTGTACTTTATGAATGGTGATTCCTGACATTAATACTATTTTTTGGCGGGGTGATTATTGCATCAATTTAAAAAAAAAAACAATACTAACTATACTATATAACTAAAAATATAACTTTGTTCCTGTGATTTTCTCTAACATTGCTTACTTAAATTAGAAATTATTTTAGTTTTGTATGTATGACGTCGTTAGTATATTAGGACTGTAGGATAGGATCTTATATAGATATACCAGTGGACCTTACTTAATTATTAGGTTATTTCCAACAGCCTATGAGAAATCTTGGAAAAATCCAGTAGTCTAATTGGTTGTACGACTACAAAAATTTTATCCTAGTATTTGGTACTTGCGTATGATGGAATTAACCTAATGGGTATGGTTGGTCAAGTCATCACTGGAATAGAAGGCGATATTTGAAATGCACAAGTTTTTTTCAATTAATATTTAATCTTTAATTTTGCTTTTAATGGTAAAAGTGCCGATTGATACTATTAATAAAACCCATTTAATACACATTTCATTTTTTTCTAATGTACATATGAAATATGAATATAATATAGCAAAAATATAGAACAACCTAACCTAAAGTATCTTAAAAATCGAGTAAATAAACTCTAAAAGAATGACTAATATTTTACAGGTTTTCTGTCATTCTTTGATGAAAGTAGCTTTTTTCAGCCAAGCAGCTATTGAATTCTCACATTCTTTTGATGTTTGTGTTGTGTTTGCCTTCTTATCCGCATCTGAAAATATTTTAGTTTTGAAAAAGAACGAGACTGCTATCTTATATGTTTAAAAACAGATTTAAAAAATCCCTACATCCACCTTTTAAGTAAAGGCTGGATTCGAAGCTAATAGTACTCTCATGAAAGTTATCTTAGATGCTAATCTCCATGATTATCTAGGTATATATTTATGAATTTCATTTCATTAAATACAAACCTCATCGGTAAGATCTCTTTCATGAGAGTAGGTAAAGTCTGTTCATAGATATAAGAAAGTGACTAACTGATACGAATTAAGAAAAGACCCTGGCAAAATGTAAGAATGTCCGAAAAGGTCCGTACTTTGCTTAGAATTTAATTATTTGGGGTTTTGTTAGGAAAAATACTAAACAATATTTGTTTATGTATGTATGTATTTATGTTTAAGTCTAAAATAAAATTACAAATTATATTTATGAAGGTGGTTCGGGATTCGGTATAATTTTTATTTGCTATCAAAATAAGTTTATTCCAAATATATTTAAATACTTTCTTATAATGCTAACAAATTTAATAAATTCAATTTAACAAAATATATTTTTTTTAATTAAAATACGTAATATACATTGCAACCATTAATTCACATAAAAAATCACAAAAAATCATTCGCAGATCTGTCCAGGAAAAACAAAGAATCCATGCCATGTCAGTTATTACAATTTCTTAACGCAAATCTATTTCTTGGCATAAGTCCACAAGATCACTAATCACAGCCCTGTGACTCTCAAAAATCTACTCCTTTAAGAGGGATTTTATTTATGGCATTTTGTGATAGGTCTGATTTTTTCTGGCAAAGTCTGTTCATAGATATAAGAAAGTGACTAACTGATACGAATTAAGGAAAGACCCGGGCAAGCTGTAAGAATGAAATATGGCCGAACTGGTCCGTACTTTGCTTAGAATTTTATTATTTGAGGTTTTGTTAGGAAAGATATATTAACAATATTTGATTGCTGGACCGAGTTAGATAAAGCTGACTTTTTTGTAACCTATGTACGTTTTAGTTTACATATCTTTTTTGATTCTAGACTTCTTTTTGTATCTTATTGCTTAGTTTTTGAAAACAAAATCCACTTTCACTTCATGTTTTTTGAACAGTTAAATTTAGGCATACAAAACTAAAATAATTTCTTATTTAAGTAAGCAATGTTAGAGAAAATCACAGGAACAAAGTTATATTTTTAGTTATATAGTATAGTTAGTATTGTTTTTTTTTTAAATTGATGCAATAATTACCCCGCCAAAAAATAGTATTAATGTCAGGAATCACCATTCATAAAGTACAATTTTCACATTAAAATGGCTCATGGAAACGTTTTTTCCTATTTCTTGAAGGCTTGGTGATAGTTGGTCCCATCACGAGCAAAAAAAAACTAGGAAAATTTTTAATTGCCAAACTGAAAAGTCAGATTTGTTCTGGTTTTTTTGAGCGCGATTCTCTCATGAAAGAGATCTTACCGATGAGAGTTTAATGAGGTTTGTATCTAATGAAATGAAATACATAAATGCATACCTACATCATTGTGGAGATTAGCATCTAAGATCACTTTCATGAGAGTACTATCAGCGTCAAATCAAGCGTTTACGTAAAAGGCGGATGTAGGGATTTTTTAAATATGTTTTTACACATATAAGATAGCAGTCTCAAACATCAAACGTCAACAAGGCTAATTTCATCAAAGAATGACGGCAAATCTGTCAAACATTAGTTATTTTTTTACAGTTTAGTTCAAGATATAGTATCTTACTTTATTTTTAAGATATTTTAGACTAGGTTGTTCTATCTTTTTGCTCTATTATATAACTACAATTTTTTCATATCTAAAAGAGAAAAAATTAGATGTGTATAAAATGTGTTTTATTAATGGTATCAATCGGCAGTCCTTCACTTTACCCATCAAAAGCAAAATTAAAGGTTAAATATTAATTTAAAAAAAAACTTGTGCATTCAAAATATCGCTTACTATTCCAGTGACGACTTCACCAACCATACATACCCAATAGGTTAATTCCATCATACGCGAGTACCAAATACTGGGATAAAATTTTTGTAGTCGTACAACCAATTGGACTACTGGACATTACCTTTCCATTATTTCTCATAGGCTGTTGGAAATAACCTAATGATTAAGTAAGGTCTACTGGTAAATCTATATAAGATTCTATATCCTCACAGTCCTAATATACTAACGACGTCTCAACTAGTATAACTGGATATCCTTAGTATGTCCTAACAAACATCCTACTGACATATGTACCTGATATACTGTGGACGTTCTAATTAGTAACATTGTATATCTTTGAGACGTCATAAGGATGTCCCTTAGCTAGGATATACACTATGCCCCGTTTTATATCCCGTGGATGTTTTACGGACGTCCTTATGCTATTTGGAAATTCTCAAAATAGATGCCAAGTCGCCGTATAATTTATACCGCCAACAAAAACAAGGCTGAAAAGATGGCATACGACGAGACGGAGGAGAAGCCGACGAGACTCGAGCGAGTCCGGCACGGCACGACCGCGAGTAGTTGCGTCATTGGTTGCAGCCGAACAGTGTTGTCAAATGGGATCTTTTAATTTTTTCACTTAGATAAAACCGTATTTTCTGCGGTATTTTTATTAAAATAGCGTTTCTTGTCTTGTTCGCGTCCAAAAATAATAAAAACAAGTTGAATTTAACTGTTTGATGCCGTTTTTTTTAGGACTTGCCAACACAAAACATCGCAAATCTAAAAAAACTAAGTATTTTCCTACTCAGTTGTTCAAAATTTAACTTTTTAGGTTTCTATTCTAATGTTTCCACTATGGCGCAGGGGATATCCTCAGGCCATCTACTTAGAGGATATCTGTGGTATATCGTGTACAGTAAATCCGTAAGCTATCCATTCAGAGGATATTCCTGAGATGTATTTTACAATATATCCTAATATATCCTCCACATGTCCCGGGACATGCGACTTAAATGGAACATTGACCGGATGCCGGTGCTATCTGTGCTTCCACAACTTTGTTAAGAACAACATCCTTGCTTTGCTTCGAGTGAAAAAAGACAGCATGGAAGCAAGGAGAATGAAGGAAATGATGCAGTATATAACACCAAAGTAAAGTATTGGCCTGTCGGTGAACTTGGCTCCCGAATTTTTTTGATGTGCTTGGTTAATGATTTCACTTCGAGAGCAAAGTTCACCTGCTGACAAGACGTTAGTGTTGATTTCTAGGGAACTAAAATAATGTGAAATACATGTAAATAGTCATATTTAATGATTAAATAATAAATACTGTTTATAATAGAAACATTTTTATTCATCCACATTTGAATAGGTACCGAAGACATCGCAAGGTACATCGGACATCTACAGTGGCAGATTCTCGTGCATAACACGCTAATTTTTGGACAACGTTGAACGCAGCTGAAAAGAAATGTAGATAATTTACAAAAAAAGTTTTTCGAATAATGCAAACTTCGTCAAAGTTTCGATCGTTTCGCCGAAGGGTTGAGAATTTGGTATTTAAAAAAAAAAACAGACATTTATATCCATCAAATATTTTTTCACGTTTTGCGGGATATCGTCATATTGTTGTCAACATTTATTGTCCTTGTTTTAACGATTTTATGCTCAACTGCATCACACAAAGATAATGGCGGAATGACAAATTGTAAATAAATATTAACATATCACAATCACACTGCAATACGTTGTATAAATACTATCAAAAAGCATTATTAAAAATTAATAAAATGCCAAAATATTCTGTATTGGTCTAGCCCATGGAGCTATAGTGGTGCTACTACCATAAAAATTGCGACAATATTACTGCCGTGGACGGCAGTAGTATTGTCGTAGCGAAGGTTATGATTTTCTGCGCACGATTTCCACACACTTAACTGGTTTTCTCAGAATATTTATCGCGATCTAGGCATATTTTAGGAAAATACTATTGTAAAAATGCCGCGTCTAAACTTATTGGCGATCTGTCAGCGATCATGTTGGTTGATGAAGGCCGCAAGGTCATTGCTTAAAAACGAAATTTTAAATCTTGGGCGTGCGCATATCGAATGGATCTTCTTTTTTTTCATAGTTTCTTTATATGATTGACGTAAGCAGTGCCTAGATCTAGATCTCTAGTAGCTATATGTTTTTACCGAACTGACGTCATTTTAATATAAACAAATTTCTGACCTAATATTAGATCGGGAAATGTCCTTTCTCGGGCGATTTTAATAAACAATAATAACTCTGGCTCAACCGCTCAGTATTTATATTGATAAGACATTTTTTTAATATGATTATTTAGAAGAAATATTTTTATTTAAAAATAGCATTTATGTTCAAAGCTGCTTGCTACGCACTGCATTTTGAATTTTCGATTTGAAACGGCGAAGAAACCAGTTGAAAAATTAATAAAAGCGTCGATTTTTTGAGACGGGACTACACGGCACACATCACATATATATATGAAATTCTAATTTCGCAATCGGCAAAACGAATTTTTTATTTTTTATTTTCCCGTCGCCCACGCTCGTCGGTTTTTTTACAACGTTCGGAATTTTCATAAAGCCTCGCCGCCTTGATTAAAAACTTCAAACCCCATCGTTTCGTGGTGTGGGGCAAAAACGCGAGAGGAAAGGGGCGTGTATAAAAGGATGCCTATACAAACGCATTGTATTAATAACTTACAGGAAAAAATGCTTTCTTCCAAAATGTCGGTTGTCGGTTCCGCATTATCCGAATCTGGAACGCGGGGGCGGTAATTTGAGGAACATTATATATATTCATGACTTACCATCCAACACGCTTATCGCAAAAGAGGATATTAAATACAAAACCGTTAAACGCGTCATGTTACGACACAGTGTGATTTCAATTGAAACTGAAATTCAACAATAAAATCCGGATATTGCGATATCGATATAAAAGGGAACGTAAAATCCAACACCTGCAATTATTTCATTCGGCAATTATTATGTTTAGTCGGGCGTAAAGAAAAAAATTGAAACACGAAGATTACCCGTCAAATTCATTTCGGCAATGTTTACTTCCGCCTCTGGTGGAATCATGAGGAATGATTTCCCACTAGGGCTACGCAGCATTAAACATCCTGCGAGCAGTGATCCATTATTTAAACTGCATACCGAACTCGCTGGCTTTAATAAAGCTGGTTTTCAAAGGGCTTGCATTGGAATCGGAAATTGCGAAACGTTTAGGCTTTAGAAAAGCTAAAAGGTTTGGTAAGGGTATACGCGTGAGTAAACATTAACAAATCGTTAATTTACTCAAAGACTTGAAAAAAGAAATACAAACTAGGAAATTTAATGTTCCGTGTTTCAGTTCGAATTTCCTGTATAATGCAGGAAAATACAAAATCAGCGGGTGGGCTATGCGAACAGTAAGCCACGATTCCAAAAAAGAAGAGATGGGACGAACTACGGTTTTTAAGAAGAGGCTTTCTAACCTCGTTTATTTTAAAGGATTAAATTATTTTTTAATATTGTGCAATTTTTAGGCACTGTTTTTGTGAAAGTCGTAATCATGGATAGCGAGGATGCGATCAACAAAGCGGACATTTTATTGAGAGACGTACCTCGCGTAAAAATAGGGTATGTTTTAAAAATTAATTTTAACGACGTTTTTAAACCAAAATCTCTTAGTAACGACCCAGTCCTAAAGAAACATAATGTCGTCAAAGAGGAGCTACAATTCCTGCGTATTCCGGATTCGGTCCAGGAGCAAATCTTGGACACATTGAGATATATTCATGGTTCTGTAATAATGTTAACCTATTGGAGCTGAACACTTAGGCCATACAGGTTTTTTCTAGGACTTTAGATTAAAAGACGCGTCATCATACGTCGATACTAACACAAATATATTGAAGAAGTATTGGGTTGGGCGGGGAAGCCTTGTAGTGAAAGGAGGATTTGATTTTTCACAGAGCAAAGATAAACCATCTGAGGAGGTTGAGAGACTGAAGCAATTCGCCTTGTTGCGTTTGCACAGGTAAATTTTTATGGTATAAGCTGATCTTGTTTAATTGTTGCTGAATTTTAGTTACGGCTTTCACGAAAACCATTGCCTTGAAGCATTTCAGTATTGTGAGAATAATGTAGAAGACTCTCTTATGCTTCTTTATCATAAGTATTTTCAAGTCAAAGAAAGGGAAATACTCTGCGATTTGACTGCAGCAGACCTCTGTGAAATTCGTGCAGACGAAAAAAGTTCCCTGGAGTCAATCTACGAAAATTGTTTTAAAGAAAAAGTTGAGGATGTGTGGCTAGTGACAGTAAAGGTAGATTATTTGTTTAATTTATTTCACAATAAGCCAGAAAAGGTGGTTAAAAGCGCGGGCGCGAAAGGCAAAGAAATGTGCAAGAACTTTCTGCGAGGAGTCCCCTGTAAATTTGGAAACAAGTGTAGGTTCTCTCATGAGGTGAAAACAGTTCAAAAAAATCAAAATTTCCACCTTGACACACACTATTTTGAGTTAGAGTTTCGCTTTCCCAAAAATTCCAAATACCCTTATGAAGCGCCTCTAATATCCATGAAAACCAATGTGTGTCTACCCCCCCTGATGAATTTACACATCTGCAAGAGATTGTACCAGGAGGCGGAGTTATTGTCAAAGGACGGCATCCCTTGCGTCTACAGTGTAACTGAGCTGTTGCAGAATGAGGAAGTAATTAAGGACCACCTCAAAGCAGACATAGATTTTATCCATCCTAAACAAAAACTGTTTGCAGTTGAAAAAATAGTGGATCTTAGAAAACATGGACCTACTCACTATCAAAAAGGCAAAACCAACAGAGAAAAAAAGCGACAATATGCTTTGGAGGAGATTTTAAGAGAGGACCGCCAAATTGCGGAATCTTTTAAAAGCCGACTGACTGATCCTAAGTTTTTGAGGATGATGACGGCCAGGAAATCGTTGCCTGCTTGGTCTTTGCGTCATGATGTGTTAAATATGATTCATAAATCGCAAGTGGTGGTTGTTAGTGGTGAGACTGGTTGTGGAAAGAGCACCCAAGTGCCCCAATTTATATTAGATGACTGGCTGCAAAATTACACTGTCGACAGTGGTCACATAGAAATAGTTTGCACCCAACCAAGAAGAATATCCGCTATTGGGGTAGCGGAGAGGGTGGCTGACGAACGCGCAGAAAAGATTGGAAGGACCGTTGGGTACCAGATAAGGTTAGAAAGCAGGATCTCGGCCAGTACCCGGTTAACGTTTTGTACGACCGGCATCCTGTTGAGACGGTTGGAAAGTGAGCCCGCGCTATCGAATATTACGCACGTCATTGTTGATGAAGTACACGAAAGAAGCGAGGAAAGGTAAGTGGTACATTTAAACTACCGCACTGTAGGAACTGAAGTGGGCGTTGATTTGTGTATAAATAAAATTGATTTGCCTTGCTTTGTTATTTTCTAAATCTCAAAATTATTTAAAATGTGGCACAAAAGTGATGTTTTATAGATTTTAATTCGAAAAATCGGTACTGTTGACTAAGTAAAACATGTATCTAAAATTTTTTTTCTTTGTAAATTTAAAAAAAAAATGGTAGAAAGCAATAAGATGTTTTGTATAAGGATTGACTTATTATTTATTGGTAATTTAGAACTGTCAATATATGTAATTGTAACCAAAACAATAATCTCTCAACTACCTTATTTTTAAAACAGGGTGTCAGTAGTGCTCTTGATTTTGAAAATATGAGAAGAAAGCAATTTTTTTTTATATCAATAATAAGGAATAATTTTTTTTGCAGCTCATACGATTAATACTTCCCAAGATACGCCTTAAAGCTATTACAGCCGTTAAAAAGTTATTATAATCCAAGAGCACGCTCTACAGAATATTTCAAAATAAATGCGAAAAACTTATGGAGGTGATTCCTTGTTTAAAACAAAGGATAGTTTGTTATATAAACTTTACGTCAAAAGCCAACCATTAAATATCGCGCTACAAATATTGAAAAAATATATTTTCTTAAATTATGTAGAGGAGAATGAATTAGACTATCTCTAACATTTGTCTTAACAAAATTTTACTAAAAACTTGCGCAATGACATGGAAAAAATAAATTTTGACACTGGTTTATTAGAAACTTTTCTCTCACCTACAATTTTTTCATGAAACGTATATTTTCCGAATAAAAAAATTAAATGTAAAATGGGTACTGTCACACAGTTGCATTTTGTAACAACATTTGTCAGTTATCTTCTAAACAATTGCATTTTAAAAATAATTTATTAATAAGTATTTCTAAAACTAATTAATCTATTCATGTGTAAACTATGAATATACCTTCCTCAAACACATTTTATTTAAAGAATGGAACTCAAAGAAAAACACAACAAATAAGCAGGACAACTTAAGAAGTGCCAGTTCGCTAGATTTTTCTTTTAGCATTGCTTTATTTTTTTTTTATTTGAAAATAGGAAATATTGTGAAAAATTGCAGGAGGCAAAAGTACTGGTTAGTTATGTCATTTCATAAGTTTTATATGCTATATATTGTTTTGAAACGGTCTGTATATTAGCAATTACAAAATATTCATTGATTAAGTGCAATAATTTTTATAATATTGCGTTACGTTGGATCCACCGTGTAATGAACTTTTTTGGGAAACCACGCGAGTCGAACCAGTGGTACGTTTGAACTATTGCTTAACGAAATTATTTATTTTCCAATCATAATGTGATGTTTTAATTACTTTTTGGCGATCTGTCGTAAGATTATCTGGATTACAGATGCTATGAAAAGAAATGAGTATCAAAAGTCAATGCACAATTTTTAAATTAATTTTTTAAACAAATATTGCTTGAGTACAAAAAAAAACTTGTTGGATGTACAGCAGCAAATTTTGGTTTCCTATACCATGCGGTTCAAAAAAAAAAAAGAGCGACTGACCAAAAGTAACCAAAATCAGATAATCTTGTAATCCGTCATTTAAAGGGCATTTGCTTATTGAATACAGAAACTTAACCTAATACCAGATGAGAAAGTGAAGCAAATTTTAAGACGCACGGCTTTATGGGCACACTTTCAACTTTTTTACAGCGATTTTCTGCTCCTCGTTCTCAAAGAATTGCTGCCAGTCCGACCGGATCTGAAGATCGTCCTTATGAGCGCGACGCTCAACGCCACCGTATTTTCCGATTATTTTGGGGAAATACCGATAGTCAATATCCCGGGTAGGACGTTCCCGGTGGAACAGTACTTTCTGGAAGATATTTTGGAGACGATCGGCTACGTTTTGGAGGACGGTTCGGAATATTGCAGGAAAATAAAAAACGATTCCGAGTACATTGAAGCCATAATGGCCTCAACCGAATTGGGTGCGAACAGACCTCGGGAGAACATCAGGGATGAAAACTTGACCGTTCAGCAAACTCTAGCGCGCTACGAAGGTCAGTTTTTTCGGACATTTGAAAATTTGGGGAGGGTCCCCTGCGAATAATCGTTGTTCGATAGGTTACAGTGCGAAAACATGCAAGACCCTGTTTTTAATGGACCCGGATAAGATAAACAATGATCTCATTGAAACTATTTTAATGTGGATCGTAGTGGGCAAACACGACTACCCTCGGAAGGGTACTATTTTGATTTTCTTACCCGGAATCGGCGAAATCACTTCGTTGTACGATCAGCTCGTTGTTCATCCAGAATTCGGCAAACGTTCGGGCAAATACGTTATTTTACCGTTGCACTCTTCGCTGACTAGCGAAGAACAGGCGGCTATATTCAGGTGAGAATGCTCTCAGTGCCAGAGCCTCAGCTTGGGTTAATACAATCTTTGGTGGTCCATAATATAACACAAAAATCACTAGGTATTGCTATGTGCCATACCGTAAGTTGTCCGAAGTTACACATTGATCTGTCGGATATTTAATACAATAATATATTTAAAAATGCACTCTATCAACATGCTTTCCCCAAACTTCAACACAATTTTATCTTGAAGGTTTGCTGTATAGCGCAAAAAAAAAAAACAACAAATCTGGTATATCGTTTATATTTTTACCTACACTTTTCCCATAATATATCTATGTAAAGGAATTATATTTAACAATTTCAAATCCACGTTTTCTGACGAGGAAAAGAAATGTGATTAATTTTCCGCCAATATTTATAATCAATTTTTTAAAATTATTACAACCACTTGTTCTTCAAAATGATCCTCGTAAGGTTACCGACTGGATGCGCTTTTGAAGGCAAGTAACTCCGTATCATCGTCTAAACTTTTATAACTTTCTTATAAAAAACATTAATTATATAGACCTACTCCGAGCATTACACCTGCAAGCAATTGATGCGCTCCAAGGTTTAATATGTGAATGAATATAATACGGCTTGAAGCAAAAATTCCCCGGATTTACCGTAGGAAACCGAAAGAAGGTCAGAGAAAAATTGTAATATCGACGAACTTGGCCGAAACGTCGGTAACGATAGACGATTGCGTGTTCGTGGTGGACGCGGGCAAGATGAAAGAGAAGCACTTCGACCCGAACCGCAACATGGAAAGCCTGGAGACGGTGTGGGTGACGCAAGCTAACGCCACTCAAAGGAAAGGTAGGGCGGGGCGCGTCATGTCAGGCGTCTGCTTCCACTTGTACACGAGGCACAGATTCAAGTACCATTTCTTGCCGCAACCCGTCCCGGAAATTCAGAGAATCCCGTTGGAGCAGCTGATTTTGAACATCAGGGTGTTGCCAAACTTCTATGAACGAGATGTAACTGACGTCATAGGTATTTTGTTGGCGCGGCGGAAGATCGACGTTGGGAACCTATTCTTGTTTACAGACTCTTTGATCGAGCCTCCGTCTATGGAGAACGTGACGTCAGCGATCAAACGCCTACAGAGCGTCGGGGCGTTTGACAAGCAGGAGAACCTAACTCCATTGGGGCACCATTTGGCAGCGCTGCCCGTCGATGTGAGAATAGGTACGCGGTTTTGGGTATCGAGTGGATCAATTTCGCAATTGAAGAAGCGGACCAAGGAGGGTTGATTTCTTCCAAACAGCTGGTTATGTTTTACAGGAAATCGGGGTGAAATCGGCAAAACGTAGTTTTTTCATGCCAGCGAAAGCTTTGATATTTATTTACTGTCTTATTATGTCACATGAGATCTCGCATTTAGCCGAAAAAAAACTACCAAATTTTCAGAAGGGCCGAAAGTCTTTTTCCATAAAGCCATGCACCCTAAATCCAATAGTATAGACGTTATTAATATCTTAACTTCTAGTTATTTGTTTAAGATATTAATGGCAATTAGTTGCAGATTTTCCTTCGGGGCCTCTAAGCCAATATAATTATGTTATTCTCTCGAAGTTTGTTCTCCAAGATAGTACACCTCAACTGTAGTTCAAAACACTTCTGTGCAAACTCATTCGTCTTTTCCTCTAATTCGGCCTCGATGATGTCACATGACACCAAATTTTCAGAACGGTCGTAAATCTTTGTCCATAAACGTCTAACCTTCCGTGCATTCTAAATCACCCATATGGGTGGACAGGACTACACCTCGTCACCAACGTTTACTTTAGGTAAGCTGATGCTTTATGGCGCCATATTCGGTTGCGTGGACGCTGCCCTAACAATGGCCGCTTGCCTGAGTTACAAGAACCCGTTCGTGACGCCGTTCGGTAAAAAAGAGGAGGCAAACAAAAAGAAAATGCAATTTTCCGCTGGATACAGCGACCAAATCACAGTCCTAATGGCATACAGAGTAAGGACAAAGCCAATCGTCATCCAGTTTAAACCACTTGAAATTTTAGAAATTTTTAACGGTCAATAGAAAGAGTTCGGCGGGCGCGAGGAACTTCGCCAACGAAAATTTCCTGTCGTACAGAACGTTGACGACGATCGCCGACATAAAGTATCAGTTTTTGGAGTTGCTGATCGACATTGGGTTCGTTTCTGTCAATTTAAAAGAGTCGCGACGAAGGACGGGGCAGGACAACGTTTACGAGCTTACGTCCGCGGAAGTAAGGGGCGGAGCTAACCCCGATAGTCGTTACCATCCGTTTGATTCTAGTTCAACAACAACGGGGACAATATTAGGTTGTTGTCTTCGATCTTGTGCGCCGCTTTGTATCCGAATATAGTCAAGGTGCTAACGCCGTCGAAAACCTTTATCCAAAGTGCAGTCGGCGCCGTTGTGAAAGAAAACAACGCGAAGGATTTAAAGTACGCGACGGCGCAGGAAACGGTAACCGTCTACTTACATTACTATAAGCGATAAAATGGGGTGCTATTTCCTTTACCTCAACATCGCCAGACCATGTAGTTCATTGGTTTCCAACCTGTCGGACGCGCCCCCCTAGGGAGACTGTTGCAAGGGGGTATGCATCTGTCTTCAAAATATCGTTTTGTTTTTGAATTTTTGCAAGATTTTTTTTTTATTACATTTAAAATTATTATTTCTTTTAATAAATAAGTATTTTCATTTTTACATGATATTGTATATTATTTTGTAGCCCAGGTACAAAAAGGTTGGAAACCACTGATGTAGTTTGACAATATTGATTTAATATTTTCTCCTAATCCTAATGTCCTCCGTCTCTTGGGCGCGAGAATCGCGAAAAAAAATCTAAACCCTTGATATCTCAATACAGATGACATATTTTGTTGTACATTAAGCGTAACCTATGTCACAATGTTCCAAGATTTTCAGTGCTAGAGTTTCACAATTAGAACTTGAATTTAAAGAAAAACAATTTGGGTTATAAAGCGTAAACTTTCCAACATTCATCATTCATTTTAAAATTCAAAAATATCGTGAATAATAATAAATTCTATGTCATTGGCAGACATTTTTAGGCACCTCACGCAACGGAGACCGACGATAATATGGAACGTCAAATAATAACCCAATACACTGACTGAAACCACTTTTATAATAATAATAAGTTATTAACCCACTGGGCATTTTTTAGAAACAAATAAACTAATAACAAATATTAGATGCATATGATAAAACTATAAAATATAAAAAAAAAAGACAACAGTTAAAGTTTAAGCAAGAAAAGTTTTTTTTTATTTTTGAACTTTGGTTACGTAAATCACGTTTTCCGGGCAGTTGTCTAGTGTTCAGCCACTCCACATTGCAAAGCACATGATATCGCGGAAAAGGTTGTTTATTTTTGCTACACCTCTTTATGAATTTATTGATTTATCTGGTCCTCTTTGGATACAATGTTTATGGTCTCCATTGTTGAGGCATGGATTGGGTATTGGAAATTATGTTGTAGGTGTTCATGCATCCGAGTTCTGTGAATTACGTCGTGAAGAGTTTTCCTAGTCCCTATCTGGTGTATCAAGAAAAAGTGAAAACTAGCAAAATTTTCTTCAGAGACTGTACCATGGTTCCGATCGTACCGTTGGTGTTATTTTCTGGCGACTTGGACATCGCAGTGCAAAAAGGCGATACGTTTTTGACCCTCGAGGAGGGTTGGATTTTGTTTCAGGTCGAGGAGCACAAGGTGGGCAAACACAATTTGAGGCCTGCGAGGTTCGCTGATCATAGCTGTTCCAGGTGGCGGAAATGTTGAAAATGATCAGGATCGAGTTGTATAACTTGCTGGAGGAAAAAATTAAGGATCCTCTGCTGAACATTACGCACAACGACAAAGGCGAACGGGTAATATCGACGATCTTGAAATTGGTTAGTTTGTGATTTCCACGTGTGATATGTGTTATGTATTTATGAAGAATTGTTGATTTTTTTCCCTTGGAAAATAAACAAATATTTTTATTACAATTGGTATTCTTTACGCAAACATGCTGTTTTGTTTCCCTTGCAACGTTTTGCGTCAAAATCTTTTTTATTTTTTATCCAACAAACATTTCAAATTCCCCATACTGCTAAAGGGTAAATATTACATTTCTAAATATATCGTTTGCCGCTTCGTTTTTTAAATTGTATTTTTTTACACCTAAAGCCCATTAAACACCATGCAATTTCTACACGTATTTTTTCTTATAAATATTACAACTTATATATTACCACACTGCAAGAAATTTTTCAGATAAAATTACAAACTTTTTTTCCATATTTGCGCATAGGTCTAAGCTCTGTCAAAGTGCAAATATATTCATTTAGTATTAAATACTTCTGCAACTAAAACAATTTAATTTCACTTTCCATAACTATGGGATATTAAACATCGTGCAGGAAAAATCTAAGTGTTCAAAAAGCAACTAATTGTGGGATCAGCAAATCGATTCGGATGTGGTTTTTGGGTCATGTTTATAAAAAACCAAAAAGCCAATCAAGAAAATTCTATAAAATGGTTTATTAAAAAAATTAATTACATATATTATATAATATAATCTCCCTAACCTGATAACCTCGACAGCCGTTCCTGTTATAAGGAAAAAACCCCTCAATGTTTTATCTACGAAGAAGCTAGAGTACAAGAAATTAACTTCCTACGAAGCGCCATTAAAAGAAGCAAGAAAATTCAGGATGAAAGAAATAAAATTATGCATTTATTATGTCAATTACAAAAAAAAATGAGCAACAATTCGAAAAGATATTTTTAATTGTTATAAAAGCGTATTTCCTATTTGGTTCTCCCTTATGCCACAATGATCTGCAATAGCGTCAAAAGTGTGGTAGCTCCTCTTCTATTACCTCTTCTAAACATATCAAATGTCTCGCTGCTCCGAAACAGTGCTGGATGTGGTAAATTCTAAAATAGACCTCTTTCAAAAAGTTTACAAATGTAGGCCTTGAAAATATTCTAAGAATAAGTTCCCTTCATAACTCCTTACAGTCTTCATAATACTTCCGATTTTTTGATATTGGACATCATCATCTTCATCACCCTAAAATATTCAAATTGGTTCTGGTAATTCCAAAGCCATTTGACCTCCCTCATTTCGCTTTGAAATAACGTGTCCATAACGTCCGTTTCTAGAGTACAAAGATGTTTCCACTTTATTAACACATGTTAAATCAGCAGCACTACACACAAACACTGAATAAGATATACCTTCCAACAAATCTGAATCTTAAAATCAACACCTAAACAAAAATAAGACACCATAACCTCTACATACACGTTCCCACTCACAAACGTTACTTATCAGGAGCGCTTTGCTACGTCCGCTGTATGCGACCATTGTCACGTTGCCCACAAGGAACAAAAGGAAGACGATTCGCTGTCAAAAGATGAAGAGACGATAACCACAACATAAATTTGTCGGAGAATGTGGGTTCGATTCCCACCGGGTCTGTGCTCTTTATAAACTTATTTAAAAAGTTTAAAACCTGGTTTTCAGCTGACCGAATTGCTTTGTGAAGCATTCGTCAAATAAAGCGAAATTAAAAATAATACAAAATTTAAGATTTGTTAGTTTTGCCAAGAAGAAGGTTAAGCTTTAGGTTATAAATCGTTTTTGCATTCCTAAGATGTCCAAAAGATTAGGAGATTTTAACATAAGCCGCGGCAAAAAACCTAAATTAGACGAAGATGAATTTGACGATGACTTGGACGAAGATGCAATAGAGAAATGTTTTGAATTGGCTTCCCAAATTTGTGTGGAAAAGGTTCAACTTTATACTAATCTTTTTTGTACGTCAGTCCTTGCGAATATTTGTTTTAGAGTGAGGTTGCAGGTGTCCACATCGATGATTTACCCGGGTACAGTTTTTTCCAAAAACCAAGTTCGTTTGCAACATCTACTCAGTTAAATAACTTTCATAATCCCAGAAGCAACACAGCAGAATATTCTGAATTAAAAGAAGAATTGGACCGACTTACCCTAGAAACTAAAGAAAAAGATGGCGAAATTTCAATCCTTCGTGACAAAATCAAAGAAATGAAAACATCACTCGATACTGAACATCAGAAATCTATGAAAGAGTGGCGTGAAAAGGTAGTTGTCAAGCAAAAGGAAGTGAACATTTTGAAGAGCGATTTAGAATTCAAGGTAATTAATGATTTCATTTATTGTAAATAGGAAATTTTTCTGTTGTATTTCAGAATTTAACTATTGCCAATCTTAAAGAGCAATTATCAAATTTAAAAAGGCACTGTAATTTAGAAATGACTCAGACTTTTACACAGTCAGTAGCAGTTCCAAGAGAGAAGCCTCAGTGCTCAGAAAAGTATGTTTTGCTCAATTTGCATGTTTGTGGATAAAGCATTTGTTTTCAGATATTTAAGCAAGAATAAAGGCCAAGAGGATACTGTTAAAAATGAAGTTATTCTAGAAGCAAGTACAGTTTGTGCATTTGTAAAGTGAGTATTCATTATTAATCATTTTTGTAGTGTATCCTATAAAAGTAGAGCATTTGGAGCAAATTTTCCAAGACTTTTCAAAGGAAAAACATATTAGAACATCTGACATGGCTAAGTTGAGCCAAAACACATTGTGGTACTCACAAAACCAACTGCTTTATAAGGAATGGAATTTTGAACACAAGTGTGTGAGTTTCAAGACCAAAGCACTGGAGTTAAATCACTTTTATAGTGATCTGGTAAAACTGACCAACACAAGTTCAGACCAGTTGAATAATAATGAAAGTGATGAAGCTGTAGATAAAGTGCTGTGTATTACTTTGATACTGCTGCAGGACTTAGAAGATTATTTGATCCAGTTGGGATTAACATTAAAGGGTGAAGATATACATCAAATTGATACCAATTATCTTAAAGATAAAACTAGCAGTACAGTAGGCCAGTTTTCTACCCAGGAGTAAGTATAAATATGTTAGTAAATGTCCAAAAAATATAGTACATTTCTGGATATATTATTGATGTATATTATTAATGTCTTTTAGTTACCATAAGGACCAAGCAGGCATAAAGTGTGGAAAAATGCTTTTTTTTCTCTCAGAAATTTTACCATTCAACAATCACTTGGCCAATTGTGTAAGTCAACAAAAACGATTGAAATGCCAAGACAGTACAGAATATTCAGCCCCTATTTCAAATAAGTACAAGCGAGATAGTTTTCCTCTTCTCAATGTGATCCTGAACATAATTAAAATAATCGGAAAATATGTAAGTCATGCCAGCAGGAAAAGTCTTTTAAATTATTTAGTGGCTTTTAGAGAAAGGCAGATGTAATGAAGGGTTTTTTGTGTTCTGTAACAAATCTCCTAAGGAGCATATGCAAATCTGGCAATTTTGAGGTTGTGTAAGTCAATCTACAGCTTCTCAAAGCTTTCCATTCAATGTCATGTTTTAGACAGGACCTGTGTTGTCAGATATTTGCTGAGATCGTGTTTTCAAGGCCCGGGGTCGAAGTGGTTTACAGCCTGACGTTTTGGATTAAAATGTCGTCAAAGTTTCCTCATTTTATAAAATTTCTGTTTTTGAAAAATGATAAAACGCCACTCAGAAGGGATACCAAAGGGGTTTTGGATTTTACTGAAGGTAGGGCGGTAGTGGTACAGAAAATAACAAAACAAAAAGAACCATAATCCTAGGCGTTTGCAGGTGCTTGCCCATTTTGCGTCTTCAATATTCTCTTCCAAAACACTATACTTCAGTTAGAAAACATTCCTGTGAATGTCTGTTCTAACATAATGACATTTACATACAATATATTAAATTATACGGGGCTTTGGACTGATCAAAGCGTAAATGTGTAAGTAATTCTTTATATCAGGATTAAATTTCCATTCTGCTTTCCCTGGTGAAGTCCCTAGATAATTTTCTTCTCTTTTTTATTTGACAATAAGCCAAATCCATATGTAATTGGAATTTGGTTAGTTTAACACTCCTAGTTCAAATCCTGTAAATGATTTACTTTCAATTTTTAGGTGTGCTTGTCTTTCTCAACATTACAAAATTCAAATTGAGGTTATTTACATCATCATAGACAAGTATGTTAAAGGTCTTAAAGAGAAGCAAAGGGTAAACGGTATTTTGGGACTCATGATGCTATCGAACAATTACAGACTTCTGTGTTCTAGGAGAGTATGATAAACTTCTTAAACACGGATTGATAGAGAAAATGCTGAACTTAATGGCGTTCAACAATTATGAACTTACTGAGAAATACGTCGACATTTATGCACAATTTAAGGAAACACAAAGAGTATTGGGCATCGGGCAATGTAAGTTTAAAAGCAGTTTTTCGTACATAAAATATTGTTCTAGTTGCGTTTGTGCTTCGACAGTCGTCACCTTATGCGCAACCCAACCGCATTAACTCACTCATAGTTAAATTAATGTTTCAGCTGAAGACCCAAAGTTAAACCCCACAGAAGAAATTTTACACATACCTGAAACTAAATTTGTTGACGTTGACTTTTGAATAGTTCCCTGCTCAACAGATAGTGTTACATTAAGGAATAAAGACAAATAAAGTTTCGTTTTATTATATACACTTTTATGTACACCAAATAGAAGTTCACATGTATATTTTTAAAACAATTAACAGCTATTACCCACAGTGAAGCCTACACTGTTCTACATAAGTTGGTGTTTTCGTTTAAAGGTCTGTGACTTTTCGCTCAGTCAAATTTATAAATTGACAATTTCAATATTGCCGTTATTTCCTTTTGAATGAATTTAGTGAACTGATATGATTTAAATGAAAATTATTTGTATCAATTATTATTAATTTCGCTTCAATCCCATTAAAAGTTGGCGCCTATAGTGGTAAAGTGATTGGAAAACGAAGGACTGCCGCAAAATCAAGCCCAGTGGAATCAATTAATTTATAAAAATTGAAAGAATATTGTATTTTATCATATTGCAAACCATAGACCAAACAGATCTGGCATGGTAAGGATACATTTACGCGAGACTAATATTGCTGGAAATTGCTATTGCCATAAGGGAAATTGAAACTAAACAAACTTCCGATTTTGGTCCCTATTTTTGCCAGACCAAAGCGAATTCTGGAATAAACTATAGCAAAAACTTTTAACAAAAGATAAATAAAATCCTTTGGCTCTAACAGGCATGGAATAAACAATTAACAAATTTTAGCCTCACAACTTTTTACCTAATTTACTTATCAAATTTTCTATCATGGTGGCGTCTACCAAACCAATGAATTTATCAACTACTAAACCATCCCTGACTGCAATTACTGCAGGAACTGCTTTTACTTCAAAAGTATGCACTAGTTCGGCATGATTTTCTACATCTACTATCGCTAGATCTATGTTGGTCATTGGCTCGATAAGCTCCTTCATTTTAGGGGTCAAAATGTGGCATGGTTCACACCACTCAGCGTGAAAATTTACTATCACTGGGTTGTGGGAGTTCATGACTTTCGATAGAAATTCGTCATTACCTTTTATGTCGATTAGTCTTTTTAACAGTCCACTAGTAAACAAATTTCTTGACTTTATTGATAAAGGGCGGCTGCTTCTTAGAAGTGGAGCTACGGCCATATTTATCTATCAATAAACGATTGGATAGGTTTTGGGTGTACTGGTGCAATGCAGTGATACAGAAAAACTAGACAAAATGCTGCAAAACAACTTATCCCAAGTAATGATAGGACTATATTCTTGTAAATGATGTCGTAATCCTTTCCCTAAAAGAAAAAACAACAATTGTGAATATTCTTAACCATGAATAACGGAGTCAATAAATGTACCCACTATTAGATCAGTATCTTCAATATTATGTTTTGCTGTGGGTATTATCAGCAAGATAACTGTTAACGAGGTTGCGGTTCCTAATGCTATCCAGGCGATATTGCTTTGAATTTTGATCCCGACGACGAAAATTATAATGGCGATAATCCAAACGACAATTAAAATGAAAAGACCTATTCCGATATTCCCGATGGTAGTCATACCTAAAAAAGAAGAGGTTAAAATTGCTGGAAATAAAAATTTTACAATATATTGTAGGTTAATAAAATTACCATTAAACCATTACAAGTTTAGCCTAAAGGGCAAACTAATGTTAGAAACATAAACTATTCAGAAAGTTTTCGCCAATACAAACATAACCACGGATTGTTAACAAACCCGCAGAACAAGGGTCCATTTTTCCAGTACGCAACCAGGCAAAATTGCTACCACCAATCACCCAAAACCGCCAGCTGACAAAATAGTTATATTTGATTATTATAAGTCATGATAAGGAAATATGGAACAGTAATCAAAAACAGATCTCTGATATAAATATTTAATGGTTAAAACAGTTAATAAAAATACATTTCATTAGAAAAAAAGGCAATTTATAAAAATCCACAAAAATACAAAAAAGTGCGCTTCGTGTAAAACGTATACTTTATAAAATTACTAAGACTCGGTTTAACGTTAGCGGAATTGTTTGTTACTGTATGGATTATAAAATAGATATAACTGAATTTTTGAACGCAATATCGATTTCGAATCGAGCCTAAACAGTTTTCTATTTATTCCAAACTTATAAAATATTAACCATTTTCGGTTGGATTATAACTTGGTGTGCTTCCACCATTTTATCATGAACTGATAAAAACGCAAAATGCGTCAAATATCATAGTTGTAGATATTTAAACATTTTATTTTCGACGGCGATGAAAATTCAATTTTGCACGACATCAATTGTGTTATCGACAAATATTATTATATATTATCGCTTCGACGCACGTGGATTAATATTCATTGGCCGAATAAATTGATATTTTCATTTGCCCCGTTTCTAGATTTTAATCGTATTTTCGTTATGAGTTTTCCGTAACAAAAAAAAAACTCCTCGTATAGACCGTGTATTAATGTGTTTTTGTGGTGATATCCCGCTTCTCATAGCACGACCCAGGGACAGGACGCCTTCGAATCCCGTGTTCAATGATTCGAACGGACATATATTATTTTTGTAGCGGAGGGTGTAAATATGATGTCACAAAGCCATTTGTTAGCGCGTTTCCTGAGCGAGCCGCCGACGGGAAAACTGTGGCCCGATATGTCGCTTCATATTTATGATCGGCCCCCGGGTTGCCGCCGGCGGCGGCGGCGGTGGCGGTTGCGAGACCGCGGATCGTATATATTTATGTGCCATGTATGCATTGTTTGTGTGTGTGTGTGTGTGTGTGTGTGTGTGTGTGTGTGTGTGTGTGTGTGTGTGTGTGTATTTCGGCAAGGAGATATTCCAGGGGCGTCGGTAAGATATACGGGGTGTTACCGAGAATGTGGCTCAAACACTGATGTTATTTTCACATTTCTCAATTCTGACAGTCACATCCCATGTGTCAGTGAATGTATTTATCTTGTTTTGCAAAAATGTACCTGAAAACTAATATTCGTTGAAAACCTATAGCATACAACACATTGATACACTTCCTCAGTGACTCGTTTATTAGCGCTAGATTACTTCTCATCAAAAATAATTTCGTTTCTTACCCGAGGTACTGGTGTACCCCAAAAGAAACAGTACGTTTCTCTAAACAAGAAATATATTAAAAGTAAAAACAAGTTTAACATAAAACACAATTTTAAGCACAGGTATTTGAACACTATAACGACCATCTTAACTTATTTGTTGCACTGTCTGTCCTTGACGCTTGATTTCCTTTGTTCTTTACTTTCGCAAGATGTGCGCCTGCCAATATTTGCTCTATATTTCGGTGTTCTAGCTTTATATTTAGAATTGCCTCAATGACAAGTCGCAGTTCAGTTTTATAAATTTCGTATTTTGAGGCATTCTTTCATTAAAGGAACAATAAGCTATATACTTAATTCTTTTAGAAATGATCCGTTTCAGTTTCCTTTTCTGGGGCATTGGAACCTTTACGTAGAATATTGGAATTAATTCCAGCAATGTCTAAAAGTCTTGATTTTCTAAGAGTAAATATATGCGCCAGCTAGTGGAACGTATCGTGTAGAATTAGATTTATCTCTTTTGGGATGCATCGTGAATACTAGAAGAACAATTTCTTGTGTTTTAAATTTGGGGTTTAATATGAAAACAGTGTGAAATAATCACTGTAAACAAAAATGGACACATTTTTGTTCTTACCTTTTACTTGGATTCTGAAATTTAAGCTTTATTTTTTCATCGTCCTAATAAAGTTGTGAAATGTCATCATGGAGCATCTTAGCTGTTTGAATTGGGGTGAATCACTTATCGGTGGTAAGATTACGATTTGTACCATAACGATGCTTTGCAAGTTTCACTCATTGTAGCGCGAAAAAAGAGAACTCCCGTTTCCTTATTGAAAAATTCGTGATTAATATGGCGTGTGGATCAAAATTATTGCATACTATATCATTATATTAAAGCAATTAAAAAAAAAGTTTTTTGGAAAATTGAATTGGAAAATTGACAAGGAAAATAAATAATCATACAGCGCCTTATAAGCGAACTCCTGCTGTGTCCGCTAAAAGATGGTAAAAACTATTTTCTATAAAGCTCAACAGATGGCGCTGACACATTTATTTGCCCCGCTGTCGACTAGTATACTAGCTATTTCAAATTTCTTTTTAGTTTGGGTATGTCATTTTTTGGCGCACTATTGCGTGAAGAACGCTGGGTGAAAAAAAAATTCATTTCCTTTTTCAGATCAAGAGCTCCTACAGAATGTATCAGTATCAAAAATCTAGGGTTACTAGGGTTTGAAGACAAATCTTCACTTTCTAGTAGTGATAATACCGTCAATAAAGCTGTTATGCGTCCTTATGTCGAATACGGCTCTTGTATCGGGTATCTCTTGAAATGTGAACTCTTCAGCTAGTTCACACACATTGTTCACACAAATATGATGCCGAAGTACTTTCTATGATGACTATGGTATCGATATCTGTCCGGGAGCAGAGACCTTATATCATTTATTATCGATGTAAAAACTGCTGCTTCTAGAATTTCCAGAACAACTAGAGCATCTTCTAGTTTTCACAATATAATGCACCGTACAAGCCCACTAACACTTTGAATGACTTTTTTACATTTTTTCAAATTTTCTTGCATCACTTCTGGAATAATTTCAGCGAGAAAAAATTTTTAGTAGTATTTATTCTCTTTTTAGTCTCTTTAAACTGGAGTTTACTTGTTACTGGTCATCATTTTTTATTTTATTTTGTTAATTGCTATGAACTTCAGTTATTATTCTTAATAATTCTCTTTTGTTTTTGTTGTGAAGCAAGAGTTTAACGCATATATAATCGGACTTCATGCGTTGATAAATAAATAAATAAATAAAATGGCACAAATCCTTGTTTAGTGCGTGAAGTATACAGCATTACTTTTTTGATGCGTAAGGTTTGTAGTGCTGTGGTGGTTTTTAAAAATTACTTTCGTACTATACCGGTTGTCCCAGCTGTGTTAAAAGTATCAAATTTGTATTTTTTAAAGTGGAGCTCTCTGTATATTATTAACCAAAATAAGTGTTAGGTTTCAATAACGTTTATGGTATCTAAACCTAGAAGTTTTTTAAATAATTTTTTTTTTTTAATGTAACCTAATTTTGGTTTGTTAAATATAGTAGAAGTATTTGAGGTATGTAAACGAAATATACATATTTCTGAATAATTAAAAAAAATTGAAAAGCTTTCCACGTTATACAAGGTAGGCAAAATTTATTTTAATCGAATTACAATTTTAAATAATGAATTGAATTGAATGGTTTAAGGTGTCTGCTAGCTGAATCTTCGAGTTTTCCCAGAATTAATTATTAATTATGTTTTTTGTGTTATCTAAATAATTATTTATTTTACTCCCTTCTGTAAAATACCCAATTGCACACCCATCTAGTTGCGACGTCGTTTTGGATTTCCTACGGACATTTCCGGAATATTACCGGGTTTGGCAGCAATAGGATATTTTCGGAAATATTATCCTCGGCCTGACCGTGACATCAATGAATGTATTCTTGTTGTTTTCCAAAAACTAATGATCGTAGAAAAAGTATAGTATGCAACACATTTAGTAACCTTATTGGTCGTTTACTACACTTATTGCATAATGTACTAACATTACATATCGTTGCATATGGTATTTAGAGCACACTAACGAGTGCAACAACCAAATAGGTACTATGAACAGCATGGAGAAATTTAAAAATATATTATGAAACTTGACAAATGATAAATAATAACAAACAATAAAATAATAATAGAACTGACAGTCTGTAGAATTATTTGACATTTTTTGCACTTTAGAAAACACTAAATAGTAATTAACACACTTAGCCCAATAGATATTCAGCATACTCCCTTGTAAGCTAAAAAAATATGGGGTTAAATTCTTTGTTATAGACACTCAAAGTTGTTATTAGATTAGAAAACATTTTTGGCCACCCTGTATAAGCTGGAATTTTTTCAAATAATTGGAAAATAAAATATGGCCTATTGTTACACTCTAGTGTAACTTGCCATCACATAATATAAATATTTCTAATATATTTGAGAAAATAAGTTTAGGTTACATTTTGACGAAACTCACATTATTTAAAAAATCTTAAGTTTTAGGTATCAATAAATATCAATATCAATACCAATAAATATGGCCTATTGTTGCACTCTAGTGTAACTTGCCATCACATAATTTAAATACTTCTAATGTATTTGAGAAAACAAAATTAGGTTACATTTTGCCGAA